CAGAAAGACAGAGAGAGACAGAGAGACAGAAAGCGAGAAATCACCCCCCAGGGGGGATGGCCACGCCGCAATCCCTTCTCCTCCGTTCTCCTCTCGGGCTCTTGGACACACGTGCACACGCCTGGCATGAGTTTTAAGCCACCAGGTCTGGGACGCAAACCACGGTCGACTATGTTGAAGTCCAGTGACATAGCCATTACGCTTACCTCTGGTCCCCCAAGGCAGGGAAGAGTCTTCAACCAGGCTTACCTGGGTCCTTCTGGAGGGTGAGGAGGCCACAGGGAGACACCATGGTGACGCCGTGCTCCTGATGAAAAGACACATCACAGACAGAGTAGCGTGTTGGGAGCTATCTATTCAAACACCAGGACCTTACGAGCTCCTCTCTGGCCTAAGAATACATCCGAGGGTTAATGTGGGAGCTGGGACGAGGGGGACCAAGATCCCAAATCCTCTGGAATATTAAATAGATATCAGTACCTTACCTCTGAGCCTCGGTACTCTCCTTTTAAAATGAGAACCATCGGGACCAGCAGTTAGCATAATGACTATGCCACTGGACTCCCACGTAGTCGACCGCGGTTTGCATCCAGGACCTGGTGGCTTAAAACTCATGCTGGGCGCGTGTGTGTGCATGCCCAAGATCCCGAGAGGAGAATGGAGGAGAAGGGATTGTGGCATGGCCATCCCCCCTGGGGGGTGATTTCTCGCTGTCTCTCTCTGTCTAAGATATGGCACAATAAGGTATTTAGCCCAAGAATTAGCAACAGGAGACACTTGACAGTCAGTGGCTAGAATTATCATTCCAGCAAGCATCTGGTACCACGTTGGACACATCAGGGGACCTCAGTAATTCCTAGTTCACCACCACCAGCTCTTTTCCCCAAGTCAAGCGGGAACCACATGCCACTATGTCCTCAGGACTTGGAGCTCTGGCTGTGGATCATGTCAGATGTGGGTGTAGACACAATCCCCAGCAAGGCAATGGACATGAGCAAAGAAATGTGGCTCCCTTCCCATAGGAACACTGCTCAGACCCTTCACACCCACCAATAACCCAGTCAGTGCAGAAGAATTCTTTTTGGAAGATTTACTCATTCATAAAAAAAAAATCCATGAGGTACAAAAGAGTAAGAAAAAAGGTATTCTCAAAAATGTGGCCTGGCAGAGTGAGCCTGAGAAATGCAGAGCCACCGCCCACATCCGTGAACACTGTTGGCCTCTCTGGGAATAATTCCCAGCAGTAAAGTAGCCAGGGAGCTCGGAGGACAGGAGGCTCCACTATGACATAAAAACAAACGAGGAAGAAGAAGGGAAAACCCTGGGAGGGGAGAGGTACAGGGGACAAGGAGGCTTGACACAGGGGGCAGAGGCTACAACACAGGGTGACTGAAGGGGGCAGGTGTGAAGAGAAAGCAGAGATCAACAGGAACCTCTAATATTTCCACTGAGTACTCGGCACTTAGACAGGGGATAGTCCCCAGTTCTGCACCAAAACCAAGTCCAGTCCCTCTCAGATGGCCCAAGGGACTGCCCCCTGCCTGCCTCCAGAGACAGGGCTGCTATCTGGGCAAGAATCATTGCGAACAGTCTGGGAAGGATAGACTCGTGTGCGGACAGGGGTCGTCCCTGAGCCATAGCATGGGGGCCCCGGAGCCAATGTCATGGTCTTGGATTCTGTTTTAGCAGAGCTGGTTCAGAAGGTGTTCAGAGGGAAGATCCAGGAAAGACTTGGCAGGCTACTCTCTCCAGCTCCAGAATGGAGGTCAATGGGAGAAATTCTCAACAGTGCTATCGATGGTCCTGGTGGGCCCCGGAGGCATCCATGTCCCATAACCTCAGTCATCCTGGGGAAATCCAAAACAAGACATGAGCCCTGAACATTTCTCTATTTAGTTTTTGTTTTTGCTAGAGGGTGTGTGCACTCACCAGAGACAGACAGAGAGGGAACAGAGAAAGCACACACACCCTGCCCACCCCAGGTCACGTCATGCCATAATGCCTTCTGTTCTCTCTCTCTCTTCTGTTGGGATTTTGGGCACATATGCACATATATCCAGTATGTTTCTCTGTGGATCATGTCAGATGTGGGTGTAGACACAATCCCCAGCAAGGCAATGGACATGAGCAAAGAAATGTGGCTCCCTTCCCATAGGAACACTGCTCAGACCCTTCACACCCACCAATAACCCAGTCAGTGCAGAAGAATTCTTTTTGGAAGATTTACTCATTCATAAAAAAAAATCCATGAGGTACAAAAGAGTAAGAAAAAAGGTATTCTCAAAAATGTGGCCTGGCAGAGTGAGCCTGAGAAATGCAGAGCCACCGCCCACATCCGTGAACACTGTTGGCCTCTCTGGGAATAATTCCCAGCAGTAAAGTAGCCAGGGAGCTCGGAGGACAGGAGGCTCCACTATGACATAAAAACAAACGAGGAAGAAGAAGGGAAAACCCTGGGAGGGGAGAGGTACAGGGGACAAGGAGGCTTGACACAGGGGGCAGAGGCTACAACACAGGGTGACTGAAGGGGGCAGGTGTGAAGAGAAAGCAGAGATCAACAGGAACCTCTAATATTTCCACTGAGTACTCGGCACTTAGACAGGGGATAGTCCCCAGTTCTGCACCAAAACCAAGTCCAGTCCCTCTCAGATGGCCCAAGGGACTGCCCCCTGCCTGCCTCCAGAGACAGGGCTGCTATCTGGGCAAGAATCATTGCGAACAGTCTGGGAAGGATAGACTCGTGTGCGGACAGGGGTCGTCCCTGAGCCATAGCATGGGGGCCCCGGAGCCAATGTCATGGTCTTGGATTCTGTTTTAGCAGAGCTGGTTCAGAAGGTGTTCAGAGGGAAGATCCAGGAAAGACTTGGCAGGCTACTCTCTCCAGCTCCAGAATGGAGGTCAATGGGAGAAATTCTCAACAGTGCTATCGATGGTCCTGGTGGGCCCCGGAGGCATCCATGTCCCATAACCTCAGTCATCCTGGGGAAATCCAAAACAAGACATGAGCCCTGAACATTTCTCTATTTAGTTTTTGTTTTTGCTAGAGGGTGTGTGCACTCACCAGAGACAGACAGAGAGGGAACAGAGAAAGCACACACACCCTGCCCACCCCAGGTCACGTCATGCCATAATGCCTTCTGTTCTCTCTCTCTCTTCTGTTGGGATTTTGGGCACATATGCACATATATCCAGTATGTTTCTCAAGCCACCAGGTCTGGGACTCAAATCACACACTCAGCCATGGAGGATCTAGTTGCCTTAACTACTAGGCCATGAGGCTGTCCTGTACATTTCACAGAAGTCTTCAAGGAGTGAGGGACAAAGAAGGGTTCGATCACCTGGCACCCCTGGGGCCATCAGCCACCTGCTGTGGCCTCATCTCATTAGCGCCTGCTCCAGCAGATGGGCACAATTCAGACCCACCAATGGGAAGGGGATCAGGTGGTGCCCAAGTGGAAGGGATTTCCCCAAAGCAAGTGCCCTTTGAGGAGTTCCATGGAGTTCCACTGAAGTGAGGGTAGGATTTATCCTGCTCTCTCTTCATCCTACCCCCAGCCTCAACCAGTATGAACAAAACTCCTGCCAAGAGTCATGACCACACCAATGCCGGATATATGATGCACCCTTGACCTACCCACTCCTCATCCTCTGCCCCATCCCCCTGTTCTCGGATCTCCGCTGTGGGCCCCTCTGAAGACTTCTGGGCCATGATGTTGTCCGTCCAGGAAGCTCCTGTCTTTGCATCACCAGCAAAGTTACACTTGGTCACTGTTCCAGCCTCGAGTCTGGCCAATGAATCTGAAGGAAAAGAAACTGAAATGCAGGGGACTGAGGCTGATGCTAGTGGGTCCCCTCAGCCTGGGTTAAGCCATTGTTCTCTCCAGGCCTAGGTGAGACCAGCAAGGCCTGGGTGGCACTAGATAGAAGTCACCCATGGGGACCATGATTTGAGCAGCACCCAGGATCCAGGGTGTCTAGCCTAACAGCCTCAGGACACTTGTCCAGGGATTTAGGAGTAAATCTCAAGGGGTTGGTTATGTCCCCATGGGGACCAGATCTGGCCTGTTCCCATGAGCTCTAAATAAGAAATGTGGGGAGCCCTGAAAGGATGGCCAGGAGCCCCCACAGGTTGCCAAGGAACACTGGGCCAGAGCAGGAATCACATTGCTCACCTAGGAAGGGGCCGTCACCCCGAGTTTTCAGCCGTACCCCAGTCCCCAGCTCGAGCTCCATTGCCTCCATCTCTGACTCAGATATCCAGAAGGCCACTGTGTGCTCGGGGGTAAGACTCTCCGTCAGCACCAGCAGCTCTGGCTTATTGACCAGCACCTTCAGTGCCTCGAGTGTGAGGCTGTCAGTGGCCCCCTTGGCTTCTAGCTCTGTGGACACACAGCACAGAAGAGTTATTTACTTTTTTAAAAAAAATATTTATTTATTTAATTCCATTTAATATTATTATTTTAAAATTTGACCTGAGAGAGACAAAGAGAGAGAGAAAGGGAAGTGAGAAAGCAAGCCCCCAGGTTCAGGACTCGAACCATGGTCAAGCATGTGAGAATCCAGTGCCCTAACCACCATGCCACCTGCTGGCCCCCAGAAGGGTTATTATTGCCCCCAGGGCAGGTGCTCATGGAGCCTTCCAGAGGAGAATGGAGGAGAAGGAACTGTGGCAGGGCCATCCCCACTTGGGGGTGATTTCTCACTTTCCCTCTCACTGTCTCTGTCTCTCTCTTTGGCAAGCACACTTATCCTAAGGCAAAAACCTCTTAAAACAAAACAAAACAAAATTGGCCATGGCAGCTTGAAAAACATGCTGGATCTTGTGCTCGCAACCAACCCTGATGGGATGAAAAAAATGGAAGCAGAAGAATTACAGTATGACCACACCTCATTGGGTGGTATTCTCTCTCTCTATCTCTGTCTGTCTCTGTCTCTGGTGAGCGCCTATACCCTCCGGCAATAAAATAAAATCAAGTAAAGTAAAATACAATGATAGAGGATGGGTGGATTTCCACTTGACTTCAAAACACTCTCACACTAGGGCAGTCAGCAAAGTCGTCCCTCTACAGTCCATACTGGAAAAATGAGATCAAAGAGGGCTCGAGAAGCAAGTAAGGGGGACCAGCAGGTGGTGTGGTCATTGGAGCACTGGACTTCCACATGGCCAGCCATGGTTTGAGTCCCACACCTGGCAGCTTGCTTTCTCACTTACCTTCTTTCTCTCTTTCACAAATTAATAATGATAAATAAAATTAAATAAATAATTATTTAGGGGAAAAAAATAGAAGTGAAGATCTTGGCACTAAAGCAAAGGTTGCTGGAGGCTGGCCTGGCCTCTGCCCCAAGGCAGTTAGAGCCCAGAGCCAGGTTGATGCACAGGAACCCGCAGGAGACAGCAGGAGCTGGGAAGCCCACCCTGGGAAGCCCACCCTGGCCCTGGGACGGAGGGACCATGAGGATCCTGAGCCAATAGGGGGCAGGAAGAATCCAGCTACTGGGGCCCTCAGGCAAGACACAGGCTTCAGAGGTGACTGTGCCAAGAAGACGTTTTCTAGGGAGCAGAGGCAGGTGACACTGTGGGAAGGAGGACAGTGGGAGATACTTACTGTAGGACGACATGAGGAAGCCTGTGTTCACTTTCCTGGTGGCGCTGAAGTTGGGCTCAATTTCGTTTCCCTTGGGGTCGAATTTACGGCGATGGATGCAACTGGGCCGGATATACAGCACAGAGTAACGCTCCTGGGACCAGGCAGAGAGAGAGTGAGGGGGCTGCTTCACTGCCCCCAGCCCAACACACACATAGCCTGGGCTTTAGCTGCAGCCCTTGCCACTTCTCCCTCTAGCCTGGGCTGCCACCTCAGCTCCTAGATGATCAAGCTGGGTGGATGCCCCCAGTGGAGAACACCTGGCACTCACAATGAGCCATGCTTTAAGTCCATGCCGGGGTGCCAGAGCTGACCCCATGGCCTCCGCTTAGCCAGAGACAGAAAGTGCCTCTAACACCACGAGGCAGGAATGGACACTGCCAAGGTCCCATGTGCAGGGCACTGAAAAGAAGCCCTGAGAGGGGCTAGCTCAGTGGCCTGGTGGTTAAGGCAGCTAGACCCTACATGGCTGACCCTAGCAGGTTAAGAAATGTGCCAGGCATGTGTGTGTGTCCCACACCTCAATGACAGGGAGGAGGGACTACTATGTGACCATGGAGAATGGAGTGCTTTCTCCTCCCACTCTGTCTTTCTCTGACAAGTACACGAGCCCTCTGCCCCGCCCCCCCAAAAAGAGAGAGAAGCCCTGTGTGAGAGCAGCCACTCTGTCCCTTCTATAGATGCAGGACCTGGAGCAAATCAGTCCTAGCCTGTTTCCCCAGTCACGTGGGAGCAAGATGGTGACTTGCAGAAGTGTTGGAAAGGTTCAGTGAGCTGATAGAGGAGCCGCACAGTGGTAGCATGAAGGGGCCATCCAGGCTATCTGGCAGCTACTCTAATCAAAGCAGGTGGAATAGCTGCTCCCAGGGACTGAGGCCCCTGGAGATGCTTTTTCACTTTCTCTCTCTCTCTCTTGCTCCCTCTGGTGAACACACATGCCCTCCGGTAAGCATTAAAAATAAATAAATAAATAAATAAATAAATAAATAAATAAATAAATAAATCAGAGGTGTGTAAAGTGAATACCAAAAAAGTCTGTGTACATGTCTAAGCAACTCGATGCCCTGTGGGAGCCCAGGCCAGGAAAACAGTGGGGTGAGTTTGAGATAGGCCGAGAGATGGTATTGGGAGTTTGGATTTTTTTTTTTCTTTTTTGTTTTTTAAGGTTTTTGCCACACGAAGTACGCACTTGCTGGAGAGAAACAGAGAGAGACAAAGAGAGCAAAGTTAAAAAATCACTCCCAGGGGGATGGCCATTCTGCAATCTCTGCTCCTCTATTTTCCTCCTGGGATTTTGGACACGTGTATACATGTGCCTGGTATGATTTTCTTTTCATTTTTTAAAAAATTATTTTTATTTAACTTTATTTATTTATTTATTTTAATTTGACAGAGAGAGACAGGGGAAAAAAGAGAGAGGGAAAGTGAGAAAGCGAGCCGCCAGGTCCAGGACTTGAACCACGGTTGGCCATGTGGGAGTCCAGCGCTTTAACCACTACCCTACCTGCTGGCCCCTGGAGTTTGGATTTTACTTGGCAGACATGAAAGAATCCTGAAAGGTTTTGCAGCAGCAGCAGGACCCTCAGAGACAGCTTTCTGGAAACAGTCAGCAGCAGGGCAGGGATGATTTCCAGGGTAGCCAGGAGGGAGGAGGGCAGGTGCAAGGGTTTGTCAGGACAGACTGAGGGCCCATCTGACATGAGCAGATACAGAAAGAAGAGCGCAAGGGGACAGGATGGGGCAGAATGGAGGAGGTAGAGGCCCAGCAGGACAGGCAGTGACCACATAGGGAGGGAGGAGGAAGTAGGGGTTTGTAAACAGGTGCTGGGAGGGCGGCTGGGCCATCACCAGTAGTGAGGAACTCAGAGGTGAATTTGGAGAGGGGCTGGGAGAATGCCCTGCCTGTCTGAGGACGGCCAGTCAGGTCAGACTCCCATCAGCATGGGGGCACTACTGAGTGGTCCTGGACAGGCTGGCTGGGGACCCTGGATGGGTATGGCACCTGCATGCCAAGGAGAGGAGGGTGCAGCAAGCATCTCTTGGCATGAAAGCAGAGGAGAGCTGGGAACTGGGGCTGTTCCCACAGGGTGTAGGAGAGAGATGTAAGCTCAGTGTAGCACAGGTCGCTGCCCCCCGGGAGGGCCTCTGAGGAGCTCCGTTTTAGAAAGCAAGTGGCTGACACATCTAGGTGGGGCTTTTTGAAAGGGAAGTGGAAAATCAGAGCTGGTGCTCAGAAAAGACACGGGCGTGGTGGTTAATATGCTGGACTCCCAACATGGCCAAACACACAGTTCAAGTCTTGGGCCTGGCGGATTGCTTTCTCACTTTCCCTTTCTCTCTCTGTCTTTCTATGGTCAAGTTAGAAATAAAAATAAATAAATTTGAAAAAGAAAGAAAACAGATATAGGCCAGAACAAGATGGTGACTGCCAGGGGTGTCCATGGTCACTGAGATGGGGTAGTGATAAAAGGCATGACCCCAGGAGGCTGGGAGGGCAGGGCAGAAAGGATGTCAGTGTGTCAACGGGAGCCTCAAACACTGACTTCACAGTCAAGGCAGATTTTTGTTTGTTTTGTTTTTTTGGGGGAGAGGTTTTTGCTATAGGGTGTGTGCACTTGCCGGAAAGACAGAGTGACAGAAAGCAAGAAGGGGATAGCCACACTTCTCTTCCATTCTCCTCTCAGGATCTTGGGCACACACAGATGTGCCCAGTGTGAGTTTAAGCCACCAGGTCCGGGACTCGAATGATGGTCGACTATATGGGAGTTCAGTAATGTAACCATTGCGCCATCTGCTGGTTCCAGTGGGCAGATTGGGTTTAGAGCCTGATTTGTCTTCTCAGCTACAACCCAGGCCCTCCCTCCCACCTGTCTGCTGCCAGTGCAGCTCTAACTGTCTCTTTTCCACATGGTGTGTAGTTCCACTTGGCTGCCCGTCTCCCAGCTCACTTCCCACCCGCTCAGTGAGCCCACTGAGAAAGGAGCTGGAGCCCAGATCCTGGCCCTAGCAGAGCCAGCACCAGGGGTGCTTCGGTGGGGAGTTCTGTGAAGCAGTACCCTGTGAGTGCCACCCAGGAAGCATCTCACCTTCCTGCCATGGGCATCCGTGATGCTGTGCCGAGATACATCAACCAGTTCTCCCTCTAGCAGGATGCCGTCTCCCCTGGGGACAAGAGGGAAAGAAGTGACTGTGGGTTCTGTTAGTCCTCAGGAAAGAGACACAACCGGATTTCGATGGCCCAGGTCAGAGTCTGCACCGGGACAGAAGCAAGTCCCACTGACATCTCCTACACACCAGGCCCCAAGCAAGCCTGGTACTGAACAGTCCCATTCTTGGGCCTTTTCAACATGGAGGCCTCCATTCCCCAAGGATTCCAAAGGCTGGGACAGCTGTCCAGAGGGCAGGAGGAACCTTGTCAGTCTGCCTTAATATAAAGCTATGGCCTCCTTCTGCAGGGCTACTTAGGAGTTACTGTCACCAGAGCCTTAGCCTGATCATCTAGGAAATGGGGAGAAAAAGTGACACTTCGCTCTCTCTGGTGACAACATAAGATCATGTGTGTGGAGGTGTTTTGTAAATAGTAAATGTTTACTAAATGTGAAGAATTTTACTTTTTGGGTCCAGCAGATAGCGTAATGGCTATGTTGCTGGACTCCCACGTAGTCAATCACAGTTCGAGTCCCACACCTGGTGGCTTGAACTCACACCAGGCGTGTGTGCGTGCATGTCCAAGATCCCGAGAAGAGAATGGAAGAGAAGGGATTGTAGTGTAGCAAAAACCTCTCCAAAAAAACAAAAAAGAATTTTATTTTATTTGACTAAATATGGGGGGGAGGTGTTCGAACTGTTATAAATTACCTTCCTTTTTCAACTATCTTAAAACACTTTCCTGGGGGACCAGCACGTGGTGTAATGGTTACGTCGTTGGACTCTTATGTAGCTGACCGTAGTTCAAATCCCAGACCTGGTGGCTTAAACTCATGCTGGGCATACATGCTCGAGATCCCAAGAAAAGAATGGAGAAGGGATTGCGGTGTGGCTATCTCTCCTAGGGGGTGATTTCTCCCTTTATGTCTCTGTCTCTCTCTCTCTCTTTCCGGTGAGCAAATAAACCCTGTAACAAAAATCTCTCTCTAAAAAAAAGAAAATCAGCTTCCTGGGCCAGCTGGTAGCATGGTGGTTAAGGTGGTTAGATCCCATATGGCCAACTGTATGGTTTGAGTTCTGGGCTAGAGACTTGGAAAACACTGACGCATGTGTATACATGCCCAAAATGCCAAGAGAACGGAGGAGAAGGAACTGTGGTGTGGTCAACCCCCTGGGGTGGGGTTGTTTTTCCCACCTTCTTTCTCTCATTCTTTCTCCTTCGCAGTAAGCACACACATAATATAGCAAAATAAGAAATAACACTTTCCAGTTCTCATTCATATTCATAGGGTCATCAGCCCAAGGAAATGATTACTGCTGCTTTAACCATGAGGAAACCAAGACTCAGAAGTTTGGGGACTAGCCCAAGATCATATGGTCCCTTACTGAGAGGAACTCAACCCCAGCTTCCTGATTCCAGTTTTCATAAAAGCAGAACCTGGGGCTTCCTTTTGGAACCACAAAATTGAACAGAGGTAGGGCCACCTAAAGCTGATAGTGAAAGAGGGATGAGAGTGGGACATGAACACTTGCCTTTACATACCCTTCCCTCCAAGTTATTTTTATTTTTGCTGGAGGGTTTGTGTCTTCCCCAGAGAGAAGGAAAATAGGAAAGCACCAGCCATGGTCATGGTCATTCCGCAATCCCTTCCCATATCTCCCTGCTTTCAGATTTTAGGCACCCATGGGCATACGCCCAGTGGGTTTTTTTCTTCTTGAATTTTTTAATTTCAATTTCTTTCTTTCTTTCTTTTTTGGAGAAGTTTTTGCTATAGGGTACGTGCGCTTGTCAGAAAGAGACAGAGAGATAGAAAGCGAGAAATCATCCCCCAGGGGGGATGGCCGTGCCGCAATCCCTTCTCCTCCATTCACCTCTCTGGATCTTGGACACCACACACACACACACACACACACCTGAATTTAAGCCACCCGGTCCAGGACTCGAACCATGGTCATTACATGGGAGTCCAGTGACATAGCTATTACACCAACTGCTGGTCCCTCAATTTCTTTTATACATTCGATCACATGTTACTTAGTTTGCAAAAAGTGTACATTTCTCACCAGTCCAGTTAACAAGACTATAAAGTTATCTTCAATAGATAATAACCCTTTTCTTTGTCCCAAAAATGATTTGCCTCTCTATTTTCTCCTTAATGTCCTCCCTCATATTCTACTCCTTCACCCACCCTCTTGCCACTGTAGGTTTTTTTTTTAAAGAGAGATTTTTGCTATAGGTCACGTGCATTCACTGAAGAGACACAGAGAGACAGAGGCAGAAAGTGAGAAATCACCCCCCAGAGAGGATGGCCACCCTGCAGTGCCTTCTTCTCCAATCTCCTCTTGGGACTATGGGCACGCACATACATGTGCCCAGAATGAGTTTTAAGCTGCCAGGTCTGGGACATGAACCATGGTTGACTATGTGGGAGTCCAGTGTAAACATTACACCATCTACTGATCCTGCCCAGTGATTTTTACTTTATTTTTCTATGAATTATATATTTGGGACCAGCATATGACGTAATGGTTATGTCGCTAGACTCCCACATAGTCCACTGTAGTTCGAGTCCTGGACCCAATGGCTTAAAACTCATACCAGGCATGTGTGTGTGCGTGCCCAAAATCCCGAGAGGAGAATGGAGGGGATGGGATTGTGGCCCTGGGGGGGTGATTTCTCGCTTTCTGTCTGTCTCTGTCTTTCTGGCAAGCGCACGCGCCCTATAGCAAAAACACCTCTCCAAAAAAAGACTGAAAAAAAAAAAAAGTCACACTTAAGAGCGCACAGTACGTATTTTTCTGTGTCGGGCTTAATGCACCCAGCACAAATGTATCATGTTTGTAATTGCAAATGGCACCGTGCATTCCACTATGGCTCTCCTGTGACCAAGACAGCCTGCCCTTTGGACGCTGTGACGCCCTGCTCCAGCAGGCCCCGCCCCGGCCTCACCCGACCAGGACAACAGGACCCTCTATTCCACGGGCTGGACGGCCACAGCCCCTCCCGGGCTGGATCCCAGCCTGTGCAAAGGCCAGGAGGCCCGCGGGGTGACGGGTGGCAGGAATCCGTAATCCTGGGGTATGGGAAGGCTCCGCCCTTGGAGCCCCATTTGGGCATCGGGGAGTTTTAAGCCAATCTGTGTCTCGCGGGTGCGCGCGGCAGAGGCCCTGGGAGCCACGGACTGGAGGCCGGAGAGGCGGCTTTGGCACTCTGGTTTTCCTCCCGCCCACGTCCCAACCCCCAATATCGGAGCCGGGTTGGAGGCCCGGGCCCAGGCCGGGAAGCGGCGGAGCGTACCGCTGGTGGGCAGCGGGGTCCCAGGCCCCGGGCAGCCGTGTGCTCCGCACCGCCTTGTTCCGGAGGGCGCCGTCCTGGTAGAGGCGGCTCATCCTCTGCAGCGAGCGGCGCGCTGGGGTCGCAAGGCGCGGAGAAGCCGCCGGAGGACGGCGATTCCCGGAGGCGGATCCGGGAACCGCGCTGGCCGGTTGCGGGCGTGCCTGGGCGGGACTTAAAGGGGCCGAGCCCACTCCTGCCAGCAAGACTGTGCGCGGTGGGGTGTGCTTCTGGAAGGACTCGCCCTGGAGGCTTAGCGCGGCGAGAGTGGGGTGGCATGTCCTTGTCCTCTCCTTTCTTGTTACGATAGGGAGAGCCCTGCCTCAACACGCGCACCAAAGGGAAACTGAGTCTCAGAGATCCAGAGGAGCCTAATTAGGACCAGCTCTGGAAGGGAGGGTTTCCGTGGAGCAGGAACGGATGAGGGAAGATGGGGTGGTCAACATAGAAGCTGCCTGCAGTGCTCCGCCGGCGGTCCCAAAAAGGCGTAAGCGGGAGTCCAGGGATAAGTCTGGTGTCAGTTCAACGATGTATCACAGTTTGAAACCCAGCTGAGTAAGCTTGGCTGACTTCCTCAACCTCTCTGAGCCCGTGCTTCTTCGTCCCTAAAATGGGGTCTGTATCAAAGGGACTGCTCACCTTTTTCTAGAACATACCATTGCACTCCTTCCCTCTCCTGACAGTTCCCAACTCCTCCTCAGCCCCCCAATGCCTTTTGCTCAAGTAGATCACAGGTTTGCAGACGCATTTTCCAAGTCTGGGTGCAGAGGGTCTTCTCTGCCCCAGAGATGGTCACAGGAGGTAGAGGAGAGAGACAGCGAGAGGGGCAGAATATGAGAAAGCACCTTCTCTTCCCTTCTCCTCTAGGGATTTTGGGCACCCATGCAAAGGAGCACAGCGTGTCAGGGACTCAAACTAGGCATTCAGTTTGTGGGATCTAGCTGTGTTCACCAGCACAGCAGCCTGGCTGGCCTCCATCTGAAAACTTTCATCTTAGTTTAATTCTGGTTTTTCTCCTTTTTAAAAAAACAAAACAAAACAAAAAACTTATGTCTTCTATCTCCCCCCCCCCCTTTCTGGACTTTTGTTTAACTGTGTTTTCTACTAGCTGTACCTTCTGTGGTAGGCAGAATAATGTCCCCTAAAGAGGTCCACATCTTCCCCTCTGAACCTGTGAATGTCAGGCCACATGGCAAGAGGAATTCCGGTAGTAGGTGGAAAGGATGTTGCTAATCAGCTGACCTTAAAATAGGGCAATATTCCTGAATTATCTGTGTGAATTCAAGGTAATAACGAGAGCCTTTAAGTGTGGAGGAGAGGAGCTGGTGTCCTTCGGGGTGATGCGAGAAAGACTTGATCAGGGTGACTTTTTTTTTTTTTTTTTTGCTCTGCGCTCACCAGAGACAGAGAAAGGGAAGGAGCGAAAGTGTGAAAGCACTCTGGAGGCGTAGGGAGGATGGCCCGGCTGCAACCCTTCTCCTCCATTCTCCTCTTGGGATTTTGAGCATGCATGCACATGCGCCCAGTGTGTTTTTCAAGCTGGCGGGTCTGGGACTCAAACTGCAAACTCAGCCACCTTGACCAACACACTACCACCTGGCCCGACTATGGAGACCTTGGAGAAGAGACTCCCCCAAGTCTAGGAATGTGGGCAGCCTCTAGAAAGTGGAAAAGGGAAGAAAGTGGACCCTTCCCAAGGGCCTATGGCAAGGAATATAGTCCTGCCCACACCTTGGTTTTAGCCCAGTGAGACCTATTTTGGACTTCAATTTCCAGGCTGTAAGATAATACATTTGTGTTTGTTTTTCATTTTGCCAGGGGGCACATGCGCTTGCCAGAGAGAGACAGAGAGGCAGAGAGAGAGGAACAGAAAGAAAATATTCCCTCCCCCAGCCCCCCAGTGGGGAATGGTCACACCGCAATCTCTTTTCCACCTCCCTCTCCTTTTGGGATTTTGGGCACATAGGCACACCCACCCACTCATCCAGGATGTTTTTCAAGCCACTGAGTCTAGGTCTCAAACCACACAATCGGCCATGTGGTTGCCTTAACCATCTGGCCGTGGGTTGGCCCAAATCATGTTTTGTTAAGCCACAAAGTTTGTGGTAATTTGTGATAGCAGCAATAGGAAATGAATTCACTTTTTTCCCTTATTGTTTTTCTTTTAAGAATTGTTTTTCTTGTTCATTTTCACACCATTTGTTGGATAGCATTTTCTCCATTTTATTGTTCTCTCACTAATGGTTTGCATATCCTACATGGGTCTTCTTATAGTTACCTTTAATTTTTCACCTTTGACCAATGTTATACTTGCACTTAGTGTAAGAGTCAGATCACTGTATAAATGTTGTTCTAAGACACAGCAATCTCCACCACCTCTCCTCCATCATTTCCTCCTCCCCAGCAGAACCCATTTTCAATCCTTTAGCTGATTCTTCTCATACTTACTCCTTTATCTCTAAATAATATGCATGTATTGCGACCTGGTTTCAGTTTTAGGCATCATTTGTTGATTTTCCACTATAGAGGAGAAGAGTGAATTATTTCACTATTAGTACATACCTTCCCAATTCTCCCAAGCAGGCAGGAGAATGAATGATTGAAACCTGGTATGCTCGCACACTAGACTGTTACACACCCCTGCAAATGAATGGACTGTACGACTAGGCAACAACAGGTATGAATCTGGACAGTATTATAACGACTGATAAAAAGCATATCTTGGGGCCAGCATGTGGCATGGTGGTTGGGGCACTGGACTCACACATGGCTGACCTCAGTGCAAGTCCCAGACCTGGTTGCTTCCTTTCTCACTTTCCCTACCTCTTGCCCTCTGTCTCTTTCTGGCCAAATTAAAAAATAATAATAATAAAAATTAATTATTTAAACAACAGCAGCAACAAAAAATCATATCTTAGATGATCACACATCCTTTTTAAACCTTTTTAAAATATTTTTAAGCCAAGTAAAAGAAAACTAAATACATTGTTCAGCACCCATATTTGTGATAAAAATGTTTTTGTTTTGTTTTTGCTATATGGCACAAACACTCACCAGAGATAGACTGGGGTGGGAGGGGTATGAGAAATTACCCCCCCCCCAGGAGAATGGCCATGCCACAGTCCCATCTCCTCCATTCTCCTCTTGTGATTTTGGGCACGGACACACATGTGCAAGCTGCCAGGTCCAGGAGTTGAACTGGGAAACTGGCCCCAGTGCCTCAGCCTCCAGACCACCAGCTGGCTTAGTGATAAAGCTATTTTTAAGAAGCAAAGAGGGGAGGTGGGACCAGCAGTTAGCATAATGGCTATGTTGCTGGACTTCTATGTAGTTGACTGCGGTTCGGGTCTTGGACCTGGTGGCTTAAAACTCACACTGGGCGCGTGTGCATGTGTGCCCAAGATCCTGAGAGGAGAATGGAGGAGAAGGGATTGTGGCATGGCCATCCTCCCGGGGAGTGATTTCTCGCTTTCTGTCTCTCTGTTTCTCTCTGTCCGTTTGGTGAGAGCATGCACCCTATAGCAAAAACCTCTAAAAAACCAAACCAAAACAAAACAAACAACAACAACAAAAACAAAGCAGGGAGCAGCAGGTGATAGTGGTTGGGATGCTGGACTCCCACATGAATGCCACTGTTTGAGTTCTGGATCTGGCTGCTTGAAGATCATGCTGGGGGACCAGCAGATGGCGTAATGGCTATGTCGCTGGACTCCCATGTAGTTGACTGTGGTTTAAGTCCCAGACCCGTAGCTTAAACTCACACCGGGTGCATGTGCGTGCATGCCCAAGATCCCGAGAGGAAAATGGAGGAGAAGGGATTGCAGTGTGGCCATCCTCATGATTTCTCGCTTTCTATTTCTCTGTCTCTCTCTGTCTTTCTGGTAAGTGCATGTGTCCTATTGCAAAAATAATAAAACCTCTCCCCAAAAATAAGAAAAAAGAAAGAAAAAGAAAATCATGCTGGCACGTGTATATCTGTGTGCCCAAAAATCCTGAGAGGAGAAGGGATTGTGGCACGGCCAACGTCCCTCGGAGTGAGTTCTCACTTTCCCTCTGTCTCCAGTGAGCACATGCACCCTATGGCAAAAATCTAAAAGAAAAAAAAGAAAAGAGGGACTGGCCCAGAAGCACAGATCCCATGTAGCCAACCTTAGTTTGTGGAAAAAAAAAAAAAACATGCTAGATGCATGTGTGTGCCCAAAAGTCCTGATAGGAAGGAGAAATGGAGGAAGGATTGCAGTTTGACCATGCCCCGTTGGGGGGTGCTTTCTCTCTCTCTCTCTCTCTCTCTCTCTCTGGTGTGTGCATGCCTCCTCTGGCATTAAAAAGAAAAAAAGCAGAGGAATGATAAACAGAATTCAGGATGGTAATGGCAGAGGCTGGGGGATGGGAAAGGTGAAGAATCCCTAGATAGTTATTGACCAGTTGGATGGTGGATTCATGGATCCATTATATAAATAAAAAACATGGGTAAATGCAAACGTAAACAAATTAAACAACATGAAAGTAATGAGGCATGAGCTCCACAGTGACAGTGTGTTTCTAATAATATGCAAGTATTTGCAGCAGCATTGTGGCATTGTGGCAAAAATTCTGGGTCCTGGTATCAAATTAAATTGCTTTGTAAATAATGTCTTCTCCATTTTCTCTTTCTAGACTACCTGTAATTTGACAATGAGACCTCCTGGATCAATTCTATTTTCTATTTTCTCTTCTATTTTCCATTTCTCTTTTTGTCTCTCTGTTCTGTTTTTCTGGGAGAGTTCCTCCCCCTTCAATTTCCAACTCTTCATTTCTACTGTCAGGTTTTTAATTTCCAAAAGCTCATTTTTTAATTCTCAGAATGTCCCTATGGTATCCTTTCTTTGCAGTTTATCCGCCTCCAACTTCCACTCCAGGATTCAGCCCGTCTTGGGTCTGCTGCATCATTTTTCAATTGTCAATCTATTTATTGAGGGGTATGGAAAATACCCCCCCCCCAGGAGAATGGCCATGCCACAGTCCCATCTCCTCCATTCTCCTCTTGTGATTTTGGGCACGGACACACATGTGCAAGCTGCCAGGTCCAGGAGTTGAACTGGGAAACTGGCCCCAGTGCCTCAGCCTCCAGACCACCAGCTGGCTTAGTGATAAAGCTATTTTTAAGAAGCAA